TATTTAATGTGGAAAGTATAGTAGAATGGTAAGTGATTCAGTAGTCTGATTGCCTAGATTATATGCTGGCTGTTGACCTTAGGCAAAACACTTAGCACCCCAGCCCTCAGTTTCTTTATCTGTAAAATATAAAAATTAATAATGATATCACTGACCTTGCTTGCCTGTAATGAGAAATAAATAAATTAATCCAAGGAAAAGCTTTTAGAACAGGAATGGGCAGTAATTAAACACTTGGAAAATGTTAGTGCTGTTACTTAGTGACTGGAGCTTGAAAAATGGTCAACCTGTGGCCTTTTAAATAAAAATACTACACATCTGTTTATTTATAGATCAGAAACTGACTGCAACCAAAGTATGAATTTGATAATTTTTGTACCAAAATGCTTCTTTGTCCCGCATTCCACCAGCCAGAAATCCTCTCTGTTCCTTCCTTTTAAGGGGAACATGATACGTCCTTCTCAAGTCCCTAAGCCCCTGGCCGTTGGTTAGGAACCTGAGGATTTGTTGCCACCATCTCCAAACCCCATAGAACTTAGCTGTCTTATAAAATTTTTCCTTCAAGTTCAAGTTGCCTTGGCTTCCCCCGTTGACCATAGCAGTTCATTTCAAACATCCAGTTCATTACACAGTCATTTATTTGCAACCCTGCTATGTGCCTGGTGATGTTTGGTGCTTTTGATGCAAATTTGCCATTTTGTAAATGGCTCCTATCTTGCCATATAAATGGCCCAATTCTAGTTCAGAAGATATATATGTAAATCAGCACTCCCTACTCAATATGATAAATATTATGGTAAAAATTATTGTGGGGCAGCAGAATATGAGATAACTGATAGTGCCTGAACTATGAATGCCTAGCACAAGAAAGCTGTTCAACTGCACGGCTTCCTCCTCTCTGCAGGTAACAAGGGCATTTAACTTGTGATCTACAAAAATGTGTTATCCAACTTTAAAGATTAGAAGGCCAGGAAGTGTAGAGAGGAAAATGAGTATAATATCCCTAAGGGTGGAAGAGGACTATATCTGTCAGATTTGTAGCACTGTATCCCTGGGATATACATTTTATATGCGATCACATAGTACATAAAAATTAGTGTGTGCATACTAAGTCGCTTCAGTCATGTCCAACTCTTTGGACTGTAGCCCGCGAGGGACTCTGTCCCGGCGATTCTCCAGGCAAGAATACTGGGGTGTGTTGTTATGCCCTACTCCAGGGGATCTTCCCAACCCAGGGGTCCAACCCGCATCTCCTGCATTGAAGGTGGATTCTTTACAACTGAGCCACCAGGTAACCCCATATAAAAATTAGACAGGATCCTAAATGTACTTTTTACCTTTTGGTAAGCTCAAATACCTAGCTTTGAATTTAACTACATATTAATTTCTGATTTCTATGTGTTTTGACTAATTCCATTTGGAAATGCAGCATACGTGAAAGTGTGAAGTCGCTCAGTCGTGTCCTACTCTTTGCGACCCCATGGACGGTGTAGCCTACCAGGCTCCACCGTCCATGGGATTTTTTCAGGAAAGAGTACTGGAGTGGGTTGCCATTTCCTTCTCTAGGGGATTTTCCTGACCCAGGGATTGAACCTGGTTCTCGGATCAAACCTGGGTCTCTGATCGAACCCAGGTCTCCTGCATTGCAGGCAGATGCTTTACCCTCTAAACCACCAGGGAAGCAGTATATGTGGGTTTGCCACAAATTACCTAAGTGGTTTAGAAAGAAGTATGAGATTGTGGGAAAGTATGCATATCGGAATTTAGAAAACCTGAGTGCAAATCTATCCTTTGACTCCTCTTAGGTGTTCTTTATTTCTTCTCAGCTGTGTGGCCTGGGAAAATTAACCTCTTTGAAAAATGACAACTATAAAAGAATCCTAATGAAACTCAGTTGAACCATATGAAAAGATGTTCAATATCATCTTTCCGTAGAGAATTGTGAAATAAGGAAACATTGAAAAATCAATACATACCTGTTAGAATGAATAAAACATCCAGAAAACTGACGACACCAAGTGTTGTTGAGGGTGTACAAAACAGGAATTCTCATTCATTGTTGGTGGCAAACTCCAACTGGTACAACTAATTTGGAAGACATTTTGACAGTTTCTAGCAAGACTAAACACTCTTATATTAACTGAATGCACTTCTGTTTATCCAAATGTATTGTAACTTATATCCATACCAAAACCTGTGCATGAATGTTTGTAGCAACTTTATTCATAATTGACAAAACTTGGAAGCAACCAAGATGTCTTGCAGTAGGTGAATGGATCAACAAACTGTGGTATATTCAGATAATGGGATATTATTCAGCATTTGAAAGAAATGAACTATCAAGGCATAAAAAGATTTGGAAGAAACATAAATGTATATTACTAGATGAAAAAAGCCAATATGAAAAGGCTACATACTTATAGTATGAATCCAATTATATGACATCTGGAAAAGTGAAAACTGTAGACAAAAAAGATTAGCAGTTGCCAGGGTTTAGAGGAGAGGGAGGGATTAATAGGTAGAGCACAGAGGACTTTTAGGGCGGTCAAATTATTCTGTACATTGCTACAATGGTGAACTACATGTCATATATTTGACAAAACCTATAGAAAATAAAATCCTAATATAACTTATGGATGTTGACTGATAATTACAAATCATTGTATTATAACAATAACAAATGTATCAATCTGGTGGGAGATGCTGGTAGAGAGGGAGGCTTGGCATGCATGATGGTAGGGGGTAAAGGGAACTCTGAACTTTCCATTCAGTTTTACTGTAAATGTGAAACTGCTGTAGAAATAAAGTCAATTAGAATCCATGGAAAATTATTGCATCAAAAATAATGAAATAATATTAAGCTATATCTGCCATGTTCATTTTGTTGAATTCTCAAAATAACTTAAAAGCATTGTTGAATCCACTTAGAGACAAGAAAACTGAGTCAGAAAATTAATTTGTCATTTATACAATTAATATTTTCTTTGCACATATTAAGTGCCAAGTATTGTATTAAGCATGGAGATACTATAATGAATCAATGTGGATGTTATATTCCAGGGAAGCGAGATGTGTAATAAGGTGCTGATCTTTGAGCAGGACTTCTTTTACACCCTGGAGCATCAGAAGAGCAGGAAAGTTAGAGTGTGCAAGAAACAGTAGGAATAAGCCAGGTCAAAGGAGATGGGAAGAGAGATAAAATTAGTTTTGTCTCTGAGATGAGTATGGGCAAGCTGACTCATTGCTGTTGGTCCAAAACGTCTTTTGGTGTGATGGCCCTCGTGAGATGACTAATATTTTCTAGGGGTTGGGAAGAAGGTGATTGCTCCCATGGATTGTCATGGGAGACTCCTAAACTTTTTCACTTTGCAACATCTTACTCTAGAAAGAAACTTCCAGAGGCTTTGTCCACTGTCAAATAGTAAGTAGTGGAGCCAGTTGCACCCTGGTTTAGTTACAGGACAATTTGTCATATGATGTTCCACCCACTTCCAATAAAATATGCAGATATGTGGATTCTCTTAGCCCTTAGTTAAATGTACAGCATTTGATAGGGCCTGCTTTGCAAGGCCTTATAAGATTTGGCTCCTCACTTGCTCTTCATTGGGCTTCCCTCATAGCTCAGTTGGTAAAGAATCTGCCTGCAATGCAGGAGCCCCCGGTTCGATTCCTGGGTCAGGAAGATCCCCTGGAGAAGGGATAGGCTACCCGCTCCAGGATTCTTGGGCTTCCCTTGTGGCTCAACTGGTAAAGAATCTACCTGCAATGTGGGAGACCTGGGTTCCATTCCTGGGTTGGGAAGTTCTCCTGATGAAGGGAAAGGCTACTCAATCCAGTATTCTGACCTGGTGAATTCTATCGACCATATAGCCTATGGGGTTGCAAAGAGTAGGACACGACTGAGTGACTTTCACTTTCACTTGCTCTTCATTTTTACCTTGTTCAACTAATTCCCTCACCTACTAGATGTGATTTCAATCATATTGATGGCTGTTGTCCTCTTTCTGGTACACTCTAGTGTCATATTGCTCTCAGGGTTTTTATTGCTGTGTCCTTGGCTTGAAATGATCTTCTTTCAGATTTTCAAATGGCTAGACTCCTTCTCATCTTTTAAGTTCTAGTGCATGTTTCATCTCCTCAGAAAAGGTTTCCAGACATATTACTCGATTTTGTCTTCTCTTGCAAGTACCTTGATATGTCATTCAATGTCTTATTGCACTAGTTTATGTTTCTATACAATTGATCAGCATCAGAAGTAATGAGTTCTGTTCATTTAGGCATTTATTATTGGTTTCTTCTTCTATACCATAAACTTCATGATTCAGGAATTACATTAGGTGCTCAATAAAACGTTGAATGAATGCATAAACACTTGATATGTGTTAGTGACTTCATCTATACTCTAAAGTATGCTACTGTTTTTTCTTTTATAATTATAATGGTTGTAATTTTGATAGTTCTTAGAACAGAATGAGATAAAGAATGAGATAATGTATATATGTGTCTAATTCAGTTCTTAGCACATGGTAGGCAATTAGATATGACTTCTTTCATTCTTTTGTCAGTAAATCTCACTAAAACAGCACACTTGAAATTATTTGGTATAATTAAAATTGGGATATTGTAATCATATATTGTAATTAAATACAATATGTTGAAATGATATCTTGGTATTATATATTATATAGTATGTAATCATTTTATATATTATTTATCATATGTGATATAAGATGTGGTATAATATATATAACATATCATTTTATTGTATAATTGTGTTGATGTTATTATATTTAAATATCTCTTATGAGACATGTGTTCTCAAAGTAATATGCCTTCTTAGTGTCTCAAACTATGCTAATCACAATGAGAAAAAAATAAAATTGACTGCTTTAAATTAATATGGAATTTTCTATCTTTACCAACTTATTACCGAAGTTATAATTTTAGTAATAGTTTCATGATTAACTGACACTTCCTACCTTCATGTTCACTGTTTCTAGGAGGAACCCTATGTTCTGTTTAAAAAGTCTGACAAACCTCTTTATGGAAATGATCGATTTGAGGGCTATTGCATTGACCTCCTCAGAGAGTTATCTACAATCCTTGGCTTTACATATGAAATTAGACTTGTGGAGGATGGAAAATATGGAGCCCAGGATGATGCCAATGGACAATGGAATGGAATGGTCCGTGAACTAATTGATCATGTAAGTCCCTTTTCTCATTATTACTACCTTTGGAAGATTTCTATTAGATTTACCTTTTTTGATGGTCAAGGGTTAATAATGTCAAAGAACAGTGATACATTTTAAGTATTTACTTTTTCAATAATGGTATTCAAAGTATATATTATTTTTGTCAGGCATAAAGAATATAAGGGATGAATATAATTCTGTTAGAGACATGTGTCTATCTTAAGTTAACTAGTAGTCAGTGGTTTAAAATCTTGAAGTTTTGGTCTTGATTTATAAGATGGAATTCAGTTTCTTAACAGTGGATTTCACTTTCAATTTCATAATATTAGCTTTCTAATCAATGGAGAGAATGGGTGGTACAAATTCTAAATTTCATGATAAAAATTTTCTGTACTAAGATAAGATACTTATTGTCTTTAAAGATGAAATAAATCTGTACAAAAAATCTAGAATCAAATACTATATAAAAATAAAGCAAGAATATTAAGCATATTAGAGCAGAATGACAGATATTTTATTTTTTTCTATTTTTTAAAATTTATTTTAATTGGAGGCTAATTAAAATATTGTAGTGGTTTTTACCATACATTGACATGAATCAGCCACAGGTGTACATGTGTCCCCCATCCTGAGCCCCCCTAGATATTTTATTTTTCAAGAAATAATTTAGACATTTATTCTTGGTCAGGAAAACTTTATTTCATAATTTGGCAGTTGACAGTGTCAATTAATTCATCTATTTGAAAAAACTCTTTTAAGCATCATAACATAATATTTGACTATGTGTTTTGTAACATTTAAGCATATTTTGACATTTTCCTTAATATTACGGCACATAATTATTGTAAAGAATTCTGCAAAGTTATTTAAATAATTTTCTTTTAAAAAACATTGTGAGTTGTATCCTAAACAAAAATTCTTACTTAATGGAAGTAGCAAACATAGGCAGTTTTCAAAACATTTTGAAGATACTTTGCCATTAATTACAAAGTTCATCATCAAGAAAGAGAATAAAGGAGATCTGTCTAGCTATCTACCTATCTGTCTGTCAAGAAAGGGATATTAGACAATGATTAGGAACAGATTAACATTTTAAAAATACCTTTTTCTTCAAAGTGAAGTGAATGAAAGTTGCTTAGTTGTGTCCAACTCTGCGACCCCATGGACTATACAATCCATGGAATTCTCCAGGCCAGAATAATGGTGTGGGTAGTCTTTCCCTTCTGCAGGGAATCTTCCCAGGTCTCCCGCATTGCAGGCAGATTCTTTATCAGCTGAGCCACAAGGAAAGCCTAATTTTCTTCAGAATTTCAGTATATTTCTTTTAATGATTTGGAATTTACTCTGTAAGTTCCTGAACTTCTAGACTTGATCAGTTATTTCTCACAAATTCTCCTTATATGGGACATTTATATTTTAACTTTGTAAAATACATTGAAAGATCATGAACATATATACATGATTTGGGATCAAATATAAAACCTTAAACTGTCTGTTATATAAATATAACAATAACTTTCATAAACCTGACTCAAGCTGTTTTAAGTAATTTATTGGTTTGCATCTCTGTGAAGTCTAGAGGTAGTGTGGCTGGATTTGGAATATTAATATTTCATTTCTCTTATCTATTGCCTCAGTTTAGTTCTCACTTCCTTATATTTGTCTTATTCTTAGACATGTGCCTCTCAATAAGTGACAACACTTGCTACCAGCAGTTCTAGATTAATCATCTAGGTAGAAATTCAGCACCTGGAAGGTATAATTTCATCAAAAACTGCAAATTCAGTTTTATTTGCCTGACCTATGTGTGTGTACGTAGTTGCTCAGTCATGTCCAACTGTTTGCACCTGTTTGGAAGGGTCCTCAATGCAGGGGATTCTCCAGGCAAGACTACTGGAGTGGGTTGCCATTTCCTTCTCCAGGGGACACTTCCAACCCAGGGATAAAACTGACATCTCCTGTGTCTCCTGCATTGCAGGCAGATTCTTTACCTGCTGAACTATTGGGGAAGCCACTTCCTGACCTTTGTGAGTGCTAAGTCACTTCAGTTTTGCCCAACCCTCTGTGACCCCATGGACTGTAGCCCGCCAGGCTCCTCTGTCCATGGGATTTCCCAGGCAAGAGATGCTGGAATGGGTTGCCATTTCATAAACTAAATTCTGTGCCAATTATCCAATTCAGAGGGAAATGGTATTCTTATTGATTATTCTGGGCATATACTCACAAGAAACTAGGAGGTAGGGTCAATACCTTAATCAATTAATTATTAATTAATTAATTTTTTGGCTGCCTCCTGGCTTAGTTGCAGCATGAAGGATCTTCATAGTTCCCTCTGGGGCGTGTGGGACCTTAGTTCCCTGACAAGGGATCAAACCCACTTTCACTGCATTGAAAAGTGGATTCTCAACCACTGGACCACCAGTGAAGATTAAAACCATATAGATTTAGAGTTGGGAAACTGGGTTTTCAGAGGAAAATTAGGTTGCTTATACTTGAAGAAAGTGGACAGGATGCTATACAGACCAATACAATGAATATTTACTATAGAGTTCTATGAATGAATAACTTATGGGTGACTTTTATTTTAGTCAAAACACAAAAATGTTATATCACCAATGCCTTTATGCCAAACCAATCCCTTTATGCTTTATATTTGTCATGTCTGCTTAGTTAATGTTCTTTTATTTAAGTTTTTTTTTGAGATCCAAAATTGATTAGAAGTTTTATGTTTCTAGAATTTACTTCTTCTTGATCTTGTACCTACACATTTCTTTAAGGAAACTATGGAGTAGAAAATGAAGGTGAGGTTCTATGAATAGAGCTATGGCATAAAAGATAACAATACACCAAATGAAGGAATAGTAAGGAAGGTTTTATTATTTGATATTTTATTTTATTTATTTATTTACTTTATTTATTTTTATTTATATTTTATTTCACAAAAAGTATTTTTGGTATTGAGTTGAGACCATTGAAGAAGCTTTTAAGTTATTTAATCATTTTATTCTCAGTGTCATACCTGTCACTTCACTTTCTATTTTTTTCTGGGCTAAAGTACTATCCTATTTCAATGTACCCTTTCTTGATACTTTCCTCATGACACATGCTGTTGGCTTAGCCTTAGTGAATGTTTAGCATATGTCACATTAAACTAAAATGATGACTGTAGTCAGTGTATTTTTCCTTATACCACCTCAACTTAGTTTGCATGTTCATGAATATGCTAATTTCAATGTAAAGTAGTAACTGAACTACTAATCAACACCCTGAACTTCTCCCACTCCTTACTTTTCTTAGATAAAATTATATCCTCTTTCAGAGCTTGATTACCATTCTTATTCTGAAATTTCTCCATTCTCCATCTTCAGCCCTGAGCTTTCAACGCATATATCTAACTACCTCTGGTATATTTTCCACATGAATGTCTCATAAGCACCTCAAAGGAAGGATGTTCCAGGCTGAAGGTATTCATTTTTTCTGAATCTGCTCCTTCTGAAGAGTTTTATATATCAATAAGTGGCATAAACAGTTCAACAGTTTTCCCAAGCCAAAAATGTAGTATCATGTTTGCATCGTATATTAAGTGTGGCCTTAAATGATTCTGAGAGCTCCCCACTTCTCTCCAGCTCCATAGTCACGTGGATTAAGAGTCCCATATGAGAACTATTTCCTTCTTATCTGGTGAAAGTGTCTTTAGTCGCTCCGTTGTGTCCGACTCTTTGCTACCCCGTAGACTGTATAGCCTGCCAGGCTCCTCTGTCCATGGAATTCTCCAGGCAAGAATACTAGCTAGAGTGGATAGTCATCCTCTTCTCCAGGGGATCTTCCTGACCCAGGGATCAAGCCCAGGTCTCCTGCATTGCAGGCAGATGCTTTACCATCTAAGCCACCAGGGAAGCTCTCTAATCTGGTAGCTATTCATATCTTCAACTAGAGTCTTGTTTAAGAAAGATAAATCTGATCATGCCCCTTCTTTGCATACAATCTCTCAGTAGTTTTCACTGTCCGAAGGATATAGGACCAACTGTATAATGTATTTACAAGCCCTTCTGCATTGATTATTGCTTATCTTCTGTGGAAGTCTTTTTGACCCTTCAGACAGACTCTCAGACCTTCTCCACCCTGCTTTCTGTATTGGGAGGTTGTTCTACATAGAATAAATCAACAGAGCATCCCAACCAAAGGTCCAAGTCAGAGAGGAGAGTAAGGTTAGGGTGTTTATTTTGCTCCTTGTTCCATTCTCTGAGATATTGTCTTAGATTGGCTTGTGTCCTCACATTGTATGCGGGTTTCTTGCAATCATGTCTGCTCTACACAAATCTCTGTTCTGCTCTCAGTTCCAATTTATACCCTACATAGTTAGGGGTGTTTACAGCTTAGCTGCTAATGGCTTTGGGTTCCTACACCAAATCTTAAAATTCCCTTTACCAGTAGTTCTCAAAGTATATTCCATAGACCTGCAGAATTAGTATCACTTTCAAACAAGTTGGGAATGCACATTTTCAGGTCCCACTCTAGACCTACCTGATCTAAAACTGTGGTGAAATCTGGCAATCTCTATTTTAACAAGCCTCCCTGATGATATTCTGATGTTCTCTGAAGTTTGAAAATCATTAGTCCTTTTATAAATAAATCCTGCACACGTATCCTCATATGAGTATGCACCTATTTTCTGTTGAGACTCTAACTGGCACACCTTTGTATGTTTTCATCTGTTCTGCTCTCTCCACCCACATGTGGGCTTTTTTCATTCTTCTCCTCCTTTGCCTCCAGTCTAGTTGTCTGTCTCCAGAACTCTCCTCAACCCCCATCTAGCTCATCTCATCCAAAGTACTTTTGCTCAGCTTCAGAAACACTTCACCAGTGAGGCTTTCTTCACCTGACCCCAGGAAGTCCACCTACAATGAGTTTCCACATAATTCTTATTGTATAACACCATTACACTTTAATTACCAACTTAATATCCATACCATTTACTTGTATGTAATTTGTATAGCGTTCTTGTCTGTGAA